GGGAGAGCCGCGCGGGCACTGACCCCTCCTAACCCCACCCCGGGGTTGCTATTCCGGGCGCCGAGCTCAGGGCCCCGGAACGCGCGCAAACCGGGTTTGCGCAGCGCGAGCCCGGCACCTTCTCCACCGGCGCAGGGCGCGGCCGGACAGGCTCCCCTTCCTGGTCACCACTCCAACCCCTGGATCTTGCGCGGCCCGGGGTCATCCTACTCCGGGCCCTTCGCCTGGGTTCTGACTATGGGGCGCCCACTCTAGCGAATGCCGGGTGTGCAGGGCGTGGAGCCCCCTCTTGACCGCGCATTCCCGGGCGCGGCTGTCAGCACCGGGATGAGCCGCACCCCGCTTCAGTCCTGGACCCGGGGCTCCCTCTCCCTCACGGGGCGCAGACCCTTTCCAGTCTGTTTCCCATCTCGTCCCTCCACGAGACCAGCGGGTCCTCCACCGGACACTCCCTCTGGACTTCCCTCTTTCCCGGACTGGTGAGGACACCTTGACCTCAGGGCTCCCCGCAACCTCACCCTTCCGGGACCACTGTCTGCACAGCCTCTCCCCCACCCCGAAGGGCGAAGGGCAGCAGGCACCCTCTGGCCGCCCCTCCCCCAGCTGCTGGCTTCCTCCGGAGATGCTCCCCGTGGGTGGGCCGCTTGAGGAGATGGGGGCACCTGGGGTCATGGCTGTGTTGCCCCTCCGCCTCAGGCTCTGCCAAGACGACTGGACACCCCTCTTCTCCCCAAAGCCCACCTGGGGTTGCCATCCCTGCCCACCAGAGACTCGGGGTGCGAGTTCTGCTCTGCCCTCCAGCGCGGGGGGAGACCAGACACCACGGTCCACTCAGTCAACGCTTGTTGAAGGCCCACTGTGTGCCATCCAGCTGCGGACCACCCAGCCCAGCGCACTCCTGAGGCTTGGCAGCCCCTGGGGGGCCTCATCACACCTGGCAAGGACACCCAGAGGTGTAGCCAGGCCTGCTGCGAAGTGGGGAGCCAGGAAGGCCTCCGCCGCTGAAAGACTTGCCACGGGAGGGGAGGCGGCAGCGGCTGAGGGGGTGCTCGCTAAAGCCTGAGGCTGGGATGAGCCGGCCCTGGGGGGGGTGTGTGGAGCTGTAGCCTGGGTGGGGGTAGGGAGGAGTTCAGAGAGGGGCCAGTGGGGTGGGGACAGGGGAGGTGGGGGTGAAGAGCCACACCTGTGGCTGTGGGTGCAGAAGCTGGAGGCCAGGGAAGCAGCGAGGGGGAGCGGCGGGGGTCCTGGGGGCAGGCCTGTCCCGGGGTGTGGATGGGGTGAGGCGCCCTGGCGGCTCCTGGCTCCGAGTTGCAGGAGCCGTGTGATGGGTCCCCTGGGGCAGACGCTGGGGAGAGGCCAGGGAGGAGCTTGGGCAGATCGCAGGGGTGGGCGAGGGAGGAGCCCCACTTGCTGAGAGTAGGCGAGAGGGGAGGGCAAGTCCAGAGGTCACTGCCTGACAAGTCTAGGCTGGGACACCTTAAGACACCGAGCGACGTCACGGACAGTTCGGGGGGCCAGGTCTGGTTGAGAGGGACCCCGGCACCCTCAGCGCTCCAAGGGCCCATGGAGCAAGAACATGGACAGACTGGAGACCAGCCAGGCTGGGGGAGGGGGATAGTAGGGTGTAGGGGCCCAGAGGCTGAGAGAGGAAGCGGGGTGGCCAGCGATGGAGAAGGGGTCAGCGGGCCACATCGGTGGGTCAGTTGTTAAGCCTGGGGGACGGAGCTCAAGAGAGGACGGCAGGGCCCCTCTGCAGAGCTCCTAGTGTGTGCTGAGCTATGAACTGGGGCCTGAGGGACATCAGAAATAATCGGGCTTGGCCTAGGGGCCCCGCCAGGAAGACCGCTCCCTCGGCCACCCTGACCCCCGTCCAGTGCTGGCATGCAGCAGGCTGTGCGCTGCAGAGTGGCAGCAGCGCTGGCCCTGGAGAGGCAGGTCAGGGCGCGGTGCTCTGGAATGTGTCAGGGGTGCTTTGCCCTGTAACAGGACGTGCAGGGGGCAGTGCACGCTGCCGTGGACGTGAACTTCACCTGAGCGTGAGTGACAGCCTGCGCCCTGCATTCCGTAGAGCGTATACAGACGGCAAGCGGGTGCACAGGTGCTGTGTCCTGTGAGAGGCGCAGACAGAAGGCACCTGCCTTTCTGCAGTGCAGAGAGCAGACTTTGGGCCCGGGCAGCTCCGCAGCACTGAGGCGCTAGGTCCTACAGGGCGTGTGGCCAGAGGACTTACATCCTCATGGGAGCGCATTCAGGAGGCTCCGTGCCATGCATCAGGCCCTCGCCCCGTGGGGTCACCAGATAACGTGAAGACGCGGCATCTTTCTGCCTCCTGCCTCGAGACTGCGCTTCCAGCCTCTGGACTCAGCAGACCCAGAGAGAGGCCCAGAGTGTAGCTCAGGACACTCAGAACGGGTAGAGGCCACTCGGGGCGAGTGTGCTGGTGAAAAACACCCACAGCCGGGAGTGGGTGCACGGCCAGGGTCGGGGTGACTGTTGACGTGGGCGGGGTTTTCTTTAGGGATGATGGAATGTGCCAGAACTAGAGAGGTAGGGGTGGCACACCTCTGAATTCACTTAATGCGATACTGGTGAGTTTTATATTTTGTGCATTTTACCACAATTACAGTGAAAGCGATGGGGTAGATCTTAGGCATTCATTCGTTCATGTTTCCCTACAGGTCCTTGGGCTTCCATGGTTGGGGGGGTCAAATATTTGCATAATTGTAAAACTCTCACAGCAGAAAGGGCCGTGAATTGAAGTCACCTGTCAGCAGACCCTGAGATTCTTTGGGGGCAGACAGGAGGGGTGTGGGGGGCTTGTCTGAGATGGGGACACCCCAGGCAGGAAGTGGTGGGTGAGGGACAGTGAGCAGAAGGCGGATGTTCCCAGCAGATGCTGAGAGCGCCCAGGGGAGCGGTGGGAGGGGCCGGGGGGAGCCAGGCCCGCAGGGAGGCCTGTGTGGCGGGCGAGGTGAGCAGGGCGAGGAGCAAACCCAGCTCTGCCCCCAAGCTCCTGAGGACTATGGGTGACTGGTACAGGTTGTATGTGAATTTTTTGTAACGGTCTTTCAATTGATATTTTTAAAATAAATTTTTTAATAGTCTGGGTTTTTTTTTTCTTTTGCATAGAAGTACTGGGGTACAGGCTAGAGGAGCGGGGGGTGAGAGGATTCACCAGAGACAAAGTGGGGAGCAGAACAGGCAAATCCATTGAAACCCACTGCTGAGGGGAGCAGGGGGGCAGCCGGAGGGGTCTGCTGTGCCCTGGGGGTCACCCCAGGGTGATATGCTGAGATTTAACCCCTAGGCCACCAGGGTGGCCCTAAATAAAACTTTAATTTGGGGCTTTAGAGCTCTAGAAAGTTGCAAAGGCCCCGGATTGTCTGCCCCCTCTCATCACCAGCACCACGTACCCCAAGCCCTCACACTACACCTTGACTCCTGGAGCTGTGGACACGTCCCCTGACACAATAAAGCGAACTGCGCGGGGCTTGTGCGGAGGGCCCTGGGCGGGAGAGCACCCAATTCTGCCCCCAGCGCCATGTCCCTTGGGCCCCCGGGGCTCCTCTGTCAGGCATCTGTGGCGGCAGGGGCCCATCACTGCCGCTGAATCCCCTCCTGGCCCTGTCCACCCCGCCCCGTAGCCGTGGGTAGGCGGTGTTCCAGTATCACAGGTCAAAGGGCAAAGGTTGGAGTGGCTGAGCCCAGCACAGCTCTGCTCTGTCCACCTTTTCGCTCCATCACTCTTTGGACTGCAGAGTGGACCATCTGCGTGAGCTGCTTGGCTTTTCTAAGCTGGGCACTGCTGGGCGCTGGGCAGAGGCCCAGGCTGGGGGGGCAGACACCAGGGCCCAGGCCGGGGAGGGCAGACACCAGGGCCCAGGCCGGGGAGGGCAGACACCAGTGCGTGGGTCTCCTTTCCTCCTCACCTTGAGCAGCAGTTTTGAGGCTCCTTGTACCCAGGGCGCCACCAAGGTCGCCAGCTCTCTCCCGGCTCCACCCACCCCTCGGGAGCTTGCACTAGACCCTTGCTTCAGGCTCTGCTTTTGGGAGCCCAGAGAGGGAGGAGGCCACAGTCCCTCCCCTCCAGCCCCGATAACGCTGGAATTGAGCCCAGCAGCCAGGATGACAAGGCAAGCCGGGAAGCTTCGGCCGGACGGTGGGGGAGCTGGGCAGAAGGCCGTCCTGGGAGGAGGACGAGGCGGAGACGGTGCTGACACTGACTGTGGGCAGTGAGAGACTGGGAGGTGAGGAGAGGGCTGGTCCCGGGAGTGCACCCCACTCCCTCCCACAGCCCCCCACCATCACGGGTTCCTGGCAGTCGGTGTGGGGGGCCTTCTACCCACTCTGCACATGGGCCTCTGTCCCCGGGGGCCGGTGTGGACGGTGGGGAGTCACGAGTTCTGGCACCAGGGAGCCCGGCCACCTCAGGGCCGGGAGCCAGGCTGAGTCACGCCGCTGCGCGCCTCCCGGCGCCCTCAGAAAGGACGGTAGTGCCGGGCTGGGCCTCTGCTGACCGCGCCTGGCCCCAAGAGCATCCCTCGAGGCTGCAGGGAGCCCACTCAGTGCTGCCTCAGCAGCCGCTCCACCTGCGCAGGTATTTTGAGTGACGCGTCCCAGCACTTCTCTTAGGAAATCTGCTGACTCTGGGGAGTTACCTCAGGTCAGCGAGGAGCAGCCGAGGGAAGCCAGGCCCGGGGCCTGGAGCCCGGGGCTCGGGTGGGCACAGGCTGGGGCGCCAGCCGGCAAGCACCCAGCACCCGGGGGGCGGCACTGGAGGGCCAGGCAGCCCCCTGTGGAACACCCCAAACTGCTCATCTGTAAGTGGGGGCGTTGTAAGCCCCCGATTGGGAAGGCTGTGTTCTGAGGGAGTGGGGAGTCTAAAGTGTTTTTCTTTTTTCTAATCATGGCAAAATACACGAGCACAGATGTGCCGTTCCGGTCACTGAGGCTCTGCGGCTCGGCGCGTTCTCAGGGTCCCCAACTGGAACTCCGTCCCCATCGCCCCAGTCCCCGCACACGAACCCGCTCTCCGTGGCTGTGCCCGCCTGGACGGTTCTCGTCAGCGGACTCAGCGGTGTGGCCCGCGTCTGGCTGCCCCCCGCGGCTGCTCCAGGCCTCCCCGTCTGTTAATCTCTCACCTGTCACGGACGCACCGGTCGCGCCTGCCTTTGGCCGGGGAGTCGCCGCTGTGAGCACGGGTGTCTTGTGTTTTGCCAAACTTTCTTTCACCCTGTGGTGCTGGGAGGAGTCTCCCTCGGGGGCTGCAGGGAGCGAGGTCCCCCACCCAGGTGGAGGCTCGGCCAGGGGAGCACGTGAGGGCTGGGCGCTGGTCTCCGTGCGAGGCCGTCCGTGGACAGGCCGGCTATGGGCTCCCAGCCAAGAACCTGGGATTGCTTTCCCGGGAGAAGCTTCTGGGAGCAGAGTGGACTCAGTCGTCTGACTGCCTGGGGGGCGCTGTGGGGGACAGGGTTCTGGACACACCCCGACCTGTGCTCCAGACGGGGCTCAGCCACGGTTTCTCACCCTGGGCTTTTGCATGTGCCTTCCAGAGCCTCCGTTTCCTCCTGAACAACGTGGGGCTAAGAACAGCCCCTCCCCCACCGCCCAGAGGGGCTGGGCCGGCGCCTTGCTGCCCGACGCTGCCTCCGTGGAGTCCTCTGCTGCCTGGCTGCCATCTTCTGAGGGCCGGTCCGCCTGGGCACAGGGCCGACACACCAATAGACGCCCCTGGCTCTCAGCGCCAGCCCCGTCCAGTGGGGGTTCTCACCTGTGGCCCTCCAGCCTCTGCTCTGCACCTGTCTCGTCAGTGGGGACTCAGGCTCCCCAGTCACTCCAGACGGCCCTGGTGCCAAGGCCAGTCCCTGGCACTTGCTCTCTTCAACATAATGGGGCTCCCCACAGGGGTCCCACACCCTGATGCCCCCTTTTGGCATGCCAGGCAGACATGTGCCAACTTGGAAGGGGGTTCCTGCTCCTGGTGGTATAGCTCAGTGGATTCTGAAATCTCTCTGGAAAATTCCAAGGCCTGATTCTAGCCACAGGGAGCCCTGCTAACCCCTCCCCATTCATCGTCTTATGTAACACGCGGGGATTAATACTGGAGGTAGCTGCCTGGATTCAAATCCAGCTGTCTCCTCCTGGCTGGGTAAGCAACTTGCCCTCCCAGCCTCAAAGTGCTCTCCTGTCAAATGGGGACAGGCCAGTTCGGGTGACTATATGGGTGAATGAGAGAATGCAGGGAACGAATTTGGCAGTCTGGGGTGGCTCAGACCTGCTCCCCGTGGTTCTCTCCTGGACCCACGCCCACCCTGACCTCTCATCTCCTGCCTCTCCTCGGGGTTAGCGACAAACTCCAGTGTCCACCCACCGGCCCCCAAATCCTGTCTCCTTCCACTGTCCAGTGTCCCTCATATATGACACCCCTAGTGGGCCCCTTCCTCCTGCCCGGCC